AGTCCACTCCTTGTGAAAGTCCCCAACACTTTTGAATGGCCTTTTCCTAACAATCCTCTCCAGGCTGCGGTCATCCCTGCTGCTTGTGCACCTTTTTCTTCCACACTTTTCCCTTCCACATAACTTTCTATTAATGTGCTTTGATACAGCACTTTGGGAACATCCAACTTCTTTTGCAATTACCTTTTGAGGCTTTCCCTCTGTATGGAGGGTGTCAATGATGGTTTTCTGCACAACTGTCAGGTCAGCAGTCTTTCCCATGATTGTGATTCCTACTGAACCAGACTGAGAACCCATTTAAAGGCTCAGGAACCCTTTGCAAGTGTTATGGCTTCATTAGCTGATTAGAGTGGGACACTTTGAGCCTAGACTATTGAACCTTTTCACAATATTCTAATTTTCTGAGATTGTGGATTTGGGGTTTCATGAGCTATAAGCCATAATCATCTCAATTATGACAAATTACGGCTTGAACTATCTTGCTTTGCATGTAATAAGTCTATCTCATATATTAGTTTCACCTTTTAAGTTGCATTACTGAAATAAATGAACTTTTGCACGATATTCTAATTTTTCGAGTTTTACCTGTATGGTGAAAAGGAGAATGGATTCTCCAGCTCATGCAAGGTGTTGGCAAACTCAAAAAACTTCAGCTTGAAAAGTCATCTTCTATACTAGAAACCCAAAGTAGATACATCATTATCTAGAATTTTCCCTATACTTTATCAGTTCTTGCTTCTCATATCCAAGGCTAGAATAGGGTAAGAATGATGGTATCATATGTCAACATACTAGATGTTCCTGGATCTTGTTTTACAATTCAAAAGGATCCCATAGCACATTATATTCTGCTCCTATAATGGGCTCAGAGACAGCAAAATGCATTTAACAAAACAAGAGGGCATTGTTGGTTGGCTGTCACGAGCCCATTTGTGCTGTGGAAGGCATATGTTAGAATAAATCCCTTTGCAAGTTTCTGCTTCAGCACAAACAGAATTCTGACTACCACTACACAACTATTTACTAAGGCTTGGGGAGTATAATTCTATGGAATTGTTTTCTTATTTTATTCCTTTTCATAGAAAACCAGGTTTTCAGTAGCTGCTTGGAAATTTAATAGGAGCCTGACTGCTTAGAGCAGGAAAAATGTATGTGGATTCCTTGTGATCCCTTATAACAGAGATTATCTTATATGATTCTGTTAATTTAAATAACTCTTGGTCAATAGACCAGTAGTTTGAATTGGTATTCTGTATATACAAAACTCAATTCAACTTTAGTACTCTTTCAAACTGTTCAAACTGATCATCCACAATACCAAATAATTCACAATAGCTGAAATAAACTTATAAGCAGATTGGCCTAAGCATTTATTACTGGATTTTTCAGTGTATTTGAATATATATTATGGTGCTTAATATTACTTTAGAACAATTTGAGTTCTCTGTCTCATGGTAACAATACCAAAATGGACAAGTCAGGAATTTTAAATTATAGAATATAACATAATGTTCACTATTAATGGCAAGAGAGACCTACATCCACACTGAAGTCTATCAAATACACATATCATAAATAAGCACTTATCCTATTTCATTGCAAATGTTAAATTATCCAATTAGCTCTAGATAGCTGAATTAGAAAAGACCAGACTGTTTCTGCTGATTATCTTCATGGCAATCTTCCTAATTTTTTTAAAAGTATTGGGTCATCTAAAAATGACAAAGAAGATTATGGATTCCAATAATAAAAATGTGATTCCCAGTTTGATAATCATTAAGGACATGAAAGATTATGTTAAGAGAACTGTTTAGATATTTCTTGTGAGCAATGCCTTATGTATATCTAAAAACTGTACAATAATTTCACTCTAACAAGGGGAGCCAAAGTTTATGGTTCTTATATAGGACGAGGGTGGCTCCAGATAGTTTTGATTAAGTAAATACAGTTGGCCTCCTTTAATTGTATTGGCAATTTTTCATACTGGCATATGTTATGAAATAAATAAAATAAGCACCTAATGTTGGCGATACTTCTTCCACACAGATTCTGTTCATATGTGGGAACTATGATTCTTTGTTCTTTGTGTACATGCTAGGACAACGGAGCCTTCTGGTGGTTGGCTGCAACACGAAGCAAGGAGCAAGGACAAATTGTTGCCATTTCTTACCCAGAACTGTAGCAAACTTAAACTTTGCAGCTTTGTATGCTTATGCGAAAGATCAGTGCATTTTGTGTGATGTAATGCGTTTGTGATAGGACGTTAACAAAAATTGCTACGTTAACAAAGATTGCTTCTAATAAAAGAGGGTTTCAGGGTTTGCTCTGAGCTCTCATCCCGAGACAGCCTTGCGTTGTGTCTTCTTTTCATGAGAGACCACCACATTCATATATCAATAGGACCAAAGCTCTAATAACATTCAGTGATAAAGATACAAAGATTTAGAAAACCTGAAAGCAGCAAACCTGTACAGAGTAAGACAGTACAAATTATTTCCCCCACCCCCAGAGATGGCGAACATACTACCGTAGGTTTTAGGCACACAACTTTTATCTGACATAGACATTGTATGAACGGAACTGGCTGTTTTTTTAAATTGTTCAATTACACAGCATGATGAGCTAATAGATGGGCAGTCACCTGCATCTGCTGCTATTGGCAGCGAGGGATCAACAATCTACACTGGCACACTGAAAGAAATCTTGCTTCCTCTGAGAAATTCAGTATTGCTGATTTCCTGTTGACAATAGCAATAAGAAACCAACAATCTTGCACATAATTGCTGGGAGAGTTTAATTAGGCTTACACAACCCTTTCAGTAATCTTGCACTAAACCACTGCTTTTCTAGAGCAGGAAATGAATAATCTGCAGGCAGATTTTTCTCATTGAATATGGTTGATTGTTCAGAAAGGTGACAAGTGTGTAGAGATGAAAGCAACTCTAGCAATTAGTGTTGTTCTCTTGGAATTATTGTTTCAACAGAAGGGAATATAGATAGTTCAGGGCTGAACAGTGAAGTTCTTGGTACTAAGCTTGCTTGTTAAAATGTCTGCCAGCAAACATTAAGCTCAGAGAGCACCAAGATCTCCACATTATAAAGTTTGAAGAAGTAATTTAGACTGTGAGTTCTAGTCCTGTTTTTGGTATAAAAGCCAGCTGGGTGAATTTGGGCCAGTCACTCTGTCACGCCAACTCACTTCACAGGGTGTTGTGGGAAAATAGGAGGAAGGTGTGTTGGATGTTTGCCACCTTATTTTAAAAAATAATAAAGGTGGGAAATAATAAAGACCAGTTTAACCATTTGCTCATTACAAGAATTAAAGCATTCCAGGCATAGTTATTGAGCCGCCACCTAAAAACATCTAACAGAACTTGCCTTCTCTTTGGATAATTGGTTCCATTCTTAGCCTATGCTGTCAAATTCTGCTTCCATTATTTTGTATTCTACACTTTTAAATGTGCGTCCTGACCTTCTAAGTTCCATCATATCACCCATTCTTTCTCAAGTTTAATATATCCTGCTGTTTTAATATGCCTTTAATTTTTTGCCCCATAATCATCTTTGTACCCTTTTCTGAACCAGCTTCATTTTCTCTTAAAGCATGGATCCCAGAACTGGACTTTGTCCCTCAAGATGTTGTCTAAGCAGCCATAAGAGAATGGAACAATTATTTGCCTTAATTTAGAAAGCCTACTTATAATCATAATATGTTAAGAGTTTCAAGAACCACTGGAGATCAGTTAGTCCAACCCATTCCCAGTCCAAGTACCTATTGCTTCAACAATCCTGACAAGAAGCCATTTCTTTTGTTTATACACCTACAAACATTAAGAAGTTCCTTATCCCTTAAAGCAGATTGTTCCATTGTTGAAATTTTGTTACATTTTTTGTTTTGAAAGTCCAACCTTGAGCTTAGCAGGGGAGCGCAGCTATCGTATACCCTTGACTGAAGATCGGTACACTCCTTCTGTGTTGGATGGTTGTCCTCTTCCACTGAGCGCGGAGCTTCGGGAGGGATGCACATGGAGCAGTGAGGATGGGGACACCCGCCTAGCCAGCCAGATCAGCCAAATCAACCCTGGCAATCAATGGGGTGACAGATGTCGCAGCCAGATCGCTCTCCTATCCAAAGTCCAACCAAAATCTTACTTCCTTATAAAATTAAGCTTAGTTATCTTGTGAAATAATTTTGAACAAATTTATGTCCTATTCCATTGATCACCTTTTGCATATTTGAAGAGTACTATCATGCCTCACAACAATTTTTTCTCCAGAAACAGATGAAATTTTCCCATCATATTTTCTTTTCTTGAAACGAGAGCCCAAAATTGGAGGCTATGTTCTATAGAGAATAGAAGCAACGATTCTTAATCTTAACACTGTATTTTTTGATGCAGCCTAAAATAGTAACTTTGGGAGGAGCAACCACGTAACACAATGATCAGAATAGAATTTTACATTTGTGGATTAACAATATTACAAATAGAACATATTTTAAGCCTTGAGATTATTACTCAACATAATTTAACATGTTAGCATTATAAAACTACTGTAGCAAGCCAAAACCAACTTTTATTTATTGCTACACATTGAGCCCACCTATTAATTCTATATGGATTCTAAATTTCTGTCCCAAAACTATGTATGATAGCATAAATGTTTATAACATCAGTTTATAAACAATACAAATAACTAGGATCGAGTATGCTTGCAGATAAATATTTTTCAAATTCAAGTACTCGGGCATGGAATGTACTTCCTGAAGTATTATGTGGATTGAAACAAAATTCTCCACTGGATTTTATTATCTAAATGTTACAAGGCAATACTGGGAAGTTTATATATTTACTTTCAATTGATTATCTTAGTCTGATTTAATAATGAATTATTTCAGCTATGTACATTCATTATTGACTAAAATCATTAAAATATCTATGGCATTATTCAATGGTCCACTTGTAACATTTGTAATGTGAATAATGTAATTAGAGACCAGGCAGGACGAAACATACTTTATTGTACTGCAATATCAAAACACATGAAGAGTACATCAAAGACCATGCCAATGACAGATCATCAGAGTAGTAAAATAAAGGGGATATTACTGAAATCAATATTAAAGACTATTCACTACACTATTTTAAGTATCTTTACTGAACTTAGATGCATCTACCGGTACATCTTGTCCTTCTAAAATGTGTAATAGAAATTTTTAAAAGATCAAACTAAGAGGGATGGCAAAGTGCCACCTCTGGAGTGCAAAAAATATAACCACAATCCCATCCCCCTTCAGCCTGCTACTTATGTATGATATCAGAGACATCTTCAGAGAACATAATTCCTAAAGACACTTGCAATGGTATCACTTCCTATCCCAGCCATTACCAGTATGGTTAGGAAGATTAAAGTTATTACCAGTATCTCACCAACTATAGAAATACTCTTTTGTATTCTTTGCTCAATGATAGAATTTAACAAGCGCTTAGGAATCTATTGCAGTAAAGCACATTTCATATATGTCCTTATTTATGAAATATTTAGTACTGACAAGAAGAGTACAAAGTTGTGATTAGTCCTATAGGATTCAGCTCTTGGATTTCCAAAAACATGCCATTGAGGGAAGGCCATGCCAGCAGCAACATTTGGGTACCTGTGACTAAGGAGAGTATATAGAAATATTTGCTCTGATGAAGAATCAGTACTGCAACACAAGTAACTTGCTAAAGGAAGCACCAGATCATTCACTTACAAGGTACAGCCTAATGAGCTTCCTGTGCTGGTAAAAGCAGCAAAGGCCCAGCATCACAAAGATAAGATGCATCTAAGATCTAAGCTTTGACATCAGAAGCAGCATCTGAAGACAAGTTGTAAGCTATTTAAACAGGCATGGATTAAATGCCTGAATGTATACGTGCCCTCCTTCTTCATAGCCAGGTTTTAATGCGGAACTAAAGGTTAAGCAAAAAATAAAGGGGGGAATAAACTCCAAGACTAAGTTTCTATTTAAGATCAACTAAGAAGGAAAAGGAATAAGATAATTGCTCAATCCCCATAATTATCAACATACTTTTGAACCAATACAGTCATTTCTCAATATTTTAAATTATGTTTGGAAAAATAGAGACATAGTTTTGTCCTATTTGCTTAAACAAGTAGTAGAACATCAGCCACATGGTAAAAGTGTTGCTTAAGTAAATGACGAATGAGAACAACTTTGGGTTACACGAAGAAAGACAAGCATAGATTCCATTCTACCAATGAACCCCAACAAGAATATGAATCAGTGGCCAGCACAAACTGGATAAAACACTGAATCTTTTCAGCATTCTTCACAAGGTCAGACCTCTTCGTCAGCCAGTCACGTAAGGTGGAAAATCTGGCTTAAAAATGAAATAAAAACTGAGGACAAAATGGAAATAAATTAAAAGGCATCCTTATGATGTAACAGGTTTTACAAACTAAAATACAACTGATTTCTCTAATAAAAGAAATTTCCAAATTCCTTTTGGATGATTTGTAGCTTCAAATGCTTACATAGCTGAGACTGAAAAAGTATTACAGCATCCAGATAACGTTCTCTATGAATAACAAGAAAAGGGTTAAAAAAAGAAAAATAATAAAGAAAAAGGAACACTCCATATGGAATTCTCTTTCCCTCTCTGTAGTTCCCTCCTTCCCTCTCTTTGTAAGTTCATGAATCCAACGCAGATGCTAAGGTAACAGCGTATGTAAGTAAGGGTTGGGTTTTTTTGTTGATTTTTCTTTTTTTAAGTTTCAACAAAGAAAGCCCGAAGATGAAGAGATTTCCATTCAGGAGTTATCAGACGGAACATGCTCCTCAAAACCCTCGCTTTCTCGGACTAAAGCTCTTTCCAGGATAACACGGCCTTCCTTGTAGCGCTGGCTGTCTTCAGTAGCAAATTCATATATCCAGCCAAGTTTGCTGTTGCAGTTCTTGCAGCTCACATCACGAACCATATGACGGCCAGTGAGCATAACTCGGTCTTGAACTTCACTGTACTGCAGATTTACTACCTAAAGGAAGTTAAAAGGAGAGAAGCATTTGACTGATTGATTTATATCCCGTATTTTTTTTAGGAGCTCAAGGCAACACTCTTTTGTCACATTTTTTCCCCAGTAACAACTCTGTGAGGTAGGTTAGACTGAGAAAAATTTACTGGCTGAAAGTTAGTGAGCTTCCATAGCCAAAGAAGCTAACATTTGGATCTTCCTACCAGTCAGACATCTTTCCCATTGCACTATATTTCAGTCATATTACATTTGCAGTGACAACTTACGATCATTAAAGAACTATGGAAAAAATAATTTTCAACTTTTAATATCACTCCTTAACTACTCTGTATAAGCAGCACAATAGCTTTAATTGGAATTTTGCTCTGTTGATAAACACTACTATGGTAACAATTCCTTCAACGTGTTTTCTTCCCCTAATTATGTTCTCTATTTTGGAGACAAATTACCCTTCAAAATTAAGCAAGCTATGCATTTTAAGGAGGTAGAATTCAGCCCAAAGTAAGGTCTAACAATGTCCAGCAAATCCTACACATATTATAATCTGTATTATTTAGGCAAATATAAGTACATTAATGAACTTGGTCTATAAGTTATAGTTTGTTAGAACATAAATTAGTTACCACTTTATCTCCAATGTTTTACCCATTTGTTACATTCACATTTTCAACATTTTCAGCAATTGAAAGCTGACTTTTTCTAATCTTTAACAAAAATCGATATTGTAGCAAATTTTACATCTGAAAAGAACCCCAGGTGACTGTTATTATCACATTGTTAGAATTCTTAAATTGACATTTCTGCTTCACCTAACCATATATTGCAGGAATACTGAAATCACACTAATTTTAGATGTCTTTAACTAACCTTGTTAAATAAAAAGGCTCGTCCTGTAGCTCCTGTAAAACGGGTAGATATAAGCTCTGAGCGGTTGGTCAAAATTGTGTCACAATTTGCACAGGAGAATAGACGAGTACCACCAATATGATCCAAGAAGATGCGGCCCATTTTAAAAATTATGAGAGCCCTAAAAAACAGAAACAAATTGTAGTAATGTTGAAAAGTCAAAGTAAAGCAAAATACTGGTGAGAATTATATTTTAAAAATGTTGACAGAGTGTATAATATCAGTAATAACTTTCATAAATATTCATTGTGGCTACTTAAATGAATAGATATCTCCACCTTCATATCCAACTCTCTGTTACTATGTCTATAGAAGTTGGCCTCATGTTCAAAAAGAGGGAGAAAAAAATCAGATGATTTGCAAATAGCTCAGACACAATCCATCTCCCTATGCTGCTTTACAAACACCAAAAAGAAAGCAAGAAAAATCACTTCTTCATTACTTCTATTATTTATTTTAGAAAATAACCAAGAGCACTGAATGCAGCCAGATTCCTTTTCCTCTACCTTTTAAATAGCCAGCTGCCCATCTGTACCACAAGGCTGTGTAAGTCTACAATTCCATGTAGGTGAAACAGGTTTGTTGTTTCTTTAACAAAATGAAAGGTGATGTTCCTCTCCTATAAACCCACTCAGACATTCTCTCCATGCCATTAGCTTCAATGTTATTTGGGGTCTTCCAAGTTAGATCACAATCCTTATTCTGAACCCAGCTTGACCCATCATAGTAATTTCATTCTGTGATTTTGATTTTGACTCTAGCGTCCCCTTAATCATATCACTTCTGTATTATTACAAAATCTCAAACAATTCTTTATGGCAATTTGCCTGTGACCTGTCCCTGGCCTGCTTGCCCTTGCTCTCTTAAGCTATTCGATTCCCCAAACACTGCTTGAGAGATCCCATTTTGCACATTTTCCCAAAAGCTGTGATTGAATAATGAGGAAAACAATGCTACTCTGATCCCACAGGGTAATCTGATCTAATATGTTTCTGTATATTCCAGAATCCAATATTTCTGCTTTATTTCCTTCCTACTAAGATATTTTATGTAAGCTGCACCTTTGCCCTAATCAGTACCAGAACTTCACCAAGGTTTTTGAATTAAACCAAGGTATGTTTGAGCCATTCATCTCATATGTTTTATTCCAAATTGTAGGCTTTTCTTTTCTTTAGTGTGCAACCCTGGGAATCACTGACCATAGAACTTGTCAGTAGCACTTTTAAAAGTTGCAAAATGTATCATTAAAATATTTTGACCATTTAATATATTTTACACATTAAAATACTCAAAATCAACTAAAAATATAGTATTATATGAAAAGCTTTAGAGTTATGTGTATATTGAAAAGAAAATATAATTGATACTTTCAAATATCAGAAGATTCTTTTGTTATCCAAAGATAAAAGAACCATGGATTTAAATGAAAAGAACATGAGGATATTTGCTGCAGAAACAAAATATTCTACTTAGAATTTCTAAATAAAGACAAGTTGTCATGGATAATTATAGTAGTCCATAGGGTTGTATTAGAAACGAATTGTACATGACCATTAAATCTCCCTACGAACTTTCATGATTCTATGTACCAATATTACGCTTATGTGAGATCAAAGTGCAAGCCTTTGACTGGAAAGACTGTAAATGGAAAATAGCCCCAGATAAATCTGGATAAATAGACCAGGTAAATTGATCAGGACAGTCTACTTACTATACTTAGGACATAAGCTACTTCTTCTTTTTCCATGAGGATTCACAAGAACAAAATCAAATTAAAAGATGGAGGAAGGACACCAGAAGGAAGGATATAGAGGAAGAAAACTTTAAACTGTCAGAATGAAGCCACCTTCTTGACTATCACTGACCAAAAATAAATCATTATTGGTACATGTTTCTGGTAGTAGCTGACATATCAGCAGATGGACTGGGCTCTTTATCTCTCCTCATTCACACAGTGTGCTGTTATCTGCAAAGAGCTTCCACTTGAGCATATTGGTTTTACATTTAGGCATTCTAACTCTCAAACGAATTCAAGGTCCTCCAAGTAGTATAAAGGAGGTCAGAGCCTTCAGCTACTAATGTTATTCCTTGCTTAATGGCCTTCTTCCTCCATCTTTTAATTCGATTTTGTTCTTGTGTATCCAAACAAAGAAGGTTTGTTTTTGCCATAAAGTTGTTCCTAGATCTAAGTCAGCGTGCTTGGGGCATATGTCCGTCTGTTTAGAGGATTCAACAATCATTCTCTTGTTAGTTCTCTCGGAATCAGCTACTTCTCTCCTGATTTTAGGTGGGACAATGACAGCAAGAGGATATAGTTTGTCAATTGGTGTAGGTTTGAGACAACTGTTACTAAGCGTACTAGTTCATTGACAGCAATATCAATTTGTTACATAGGCTACTATTAAATTCCTAAGAACTTGATAAAACCAGCCTCCTACACCTCACTGTCTACAAAGCATATACGCTTATTTAGGGAGATATGTGTACAAAAATAAATGTTAAAAAACAGTGCAATATATAATTCTTAGTTTCAGATTGCAAACATCATTCTTCAAAAGATAAATCAAAAATGAAATCTGAAAACAATCACCAAAAGCCAGTATATAACGAAAGAAAAAAATATATAATTTCAAAAACATTTATTATGGCATATACTGTTGTAGTCTAGCTGTATAACTATTTTAGATGAGAAAGTAAAACAATTTATAGAAAATATTCTCTATTATACTATTCCAAAATGTTTTACGACATTTCTGCTTGTGGCCTATATTCCATTGTCTTCTAGAGACCAGATGGCAGTTGGCCCCCTTGCTCAGAAAATAAGAATATTCAACTAACAAATCACTAGATGTCAAAATCTGAAAAGACATGAAAATAATACTATGTTATTATCATTGTTCTTTTTTTACCCATTTTTAACAAAACAAGGAATATGGAAAAACCTAGCATACTCTTCCTTATAGAATAATTTATACAGTTATTATGGGTCTAGTTTTTTTAAAGGAAAATCACTTGCCCATTAGTACTTTTCAGCACAACCATTACAATAACTGGATTGTAATACTTTATTGATCCCACCCACTCCAGAATTTTATGCAGACAATTTAAAACAATGATTTAACATCCTATCAGGCATGAAGACCTGATATTATAGGAAAGCCCAAGGTTAATTCAGATAACCCTCTCCTTACCATCATTCTTTGTCTGGATTTGTTAGATTTATTGATTGCCATTAAGTTTTCCTACTTATATATATTTATTAGCAAAGAAAGATATGCTTTAGAGTTATTTTGGAGAAGCATCCTTTCAAAAACATATTTAATACACTAAAAGAATGGATTGAAGAGATCTGTATGTGTGTTTGATTCATGTAACTTTTTAATTCTAAAATGAATATATCTTCTTTATAATTAGCAGAGATGATTAAATGCAGTACCATCAACATAGTAATTAACATTCCAGACTAGAAGCCAGAAAATAAGTTCTAGTCCTCCTTTAAGGCATGACAGCCAAATCGGTGAGTTTGGGCCAGTTACTCTTTTAGTGGGCAGTTGTTTGGGGATTGGAATACATTTTGTTGTTCCTTAAACAAATGTGAAATAAATTCTATAGAATCTGAAGAAATATATATATATTTTTTAGTATATATTTTATTTTTATTCAGAAACATTTTGAATACAGCGTATTGTCAGGACATAACTGAAGAAATAATTTTAATGCAATTCTAATATATATTAAGACGCTGCATCAAAAATCTGCTTTACTGGATAAAATAGTAGAGTTTTTTGTTTTTTTTAAACAAAAGTGGGCTACTGAATGAATCCAGCATGGTTAAAATCTGTCTTTTCCACCCAATGAATGCAAACTTGTGGAAACACAACGATCAGGCATTTCGAACCAAAGAATTAACTACTAGAGAAATAAGAAAAGAAAAAGCAGAATTGTTTCCGGATAGCATTTCCATCACATGAGCAGCTGTGCCACAAACCTTCCCACCGATCATGAGAAAACACTCCAGGAGTTACTTCTGCCACCTCCGCCAGAAACCCAAGACCCATCCCGACAGCCCATGGAAGGGGAAAAAAAAAAAAAAAAACCTGAAACCCGATCACGTGCCTCGCCGCCTCCAATCAGCAAGGATTCTGCCTACTTCCTTCACATGGGAGAATGAGGTGAACCCAGATGATTTGACAACACACACAGAAAACGAAACAGCTGACAAAGAGACCAGCAAGGCCTCCTGTTGTTATCTCCACAGCCAGGATAAGGAAGGAAAAGGAAGCTTCCTTTGACAACATCAGCTGTTATTAGATTTAGAAACTTTTACATTCAGGAACCTCTTATACATTGATAGGTATCGAAGACGGCAACAGGGATAAAATTTATATGCGGTCAGTGAAGTGGCTGTATTTTGGGGTGGGGGGGGGGGTGGAGAGAACAAGACTCAAAAGGGACATTGTAACTAGAAGGAGCATACCTCTCAGTAAGCGAACTGCAGCAAGCCTAAGGATTTCTGTCACTTTTCGGAATCAGCACATCGCTAAGACAAAAATAAGCAGGACCAACGCAGAGCTTTAAACGTGTTGCTCAGAATAACGCGTAGGCGTGCAAAACACAAATAAAACTGGTTTCCTTACAGGAGCAACACCCTCAAGAGTTGTCCTAGCCGGAGGAGGAAACAATGGAGTGGAAAAAAAGGACGGAAGCACACGCACCACACAGGCTTCTCTCTCTCCCTCTCTCTCTCTCTCTCTCTCAGCCCCACCGGAGCGGGACAATCACGGCCGCACTTTTAGCCCGTTTGCCGCAGAAAAGCTAATCCCTCCTCACGGATCTCCTCTGCGGCGCCGGACAAAAGGCAGCCAGCGGGGGAGTGGCTGAAACTCAAGGCAGCAGCCCAACCACGGCCGGTCCAGGTTGGGCAGCTGAGCCGAAAAACATAGCCCTTTCGCTGTGGCGGCCGGAGGGGGAGGAGGAGGAGAGGATGCAAGGGCGGCAGGCTGCTGGCAGGGGGAGGAGGCGGCGGCGGCGGGCCGACACACAGGGGAGGCGGGCGGGGAGGCGGGCGGGCGCGCAGCTTCGTGCCATATTGGGTGTTATTGTGCCATAACTGAGTGTTATTGTGATAATGCGGGGGCGGGGCCAATTGGGGGAGGGGGGGTTGTTTGGCTGCTGGGGAGGGCAGGGCGAGTGAGGAAGTGAAGGCAGGAGGGGCAAACGGGAAGGAGGTTTGCGCTGTGTGTGGGGGGGGGGGGGAGGGGGGGTTGGGGGGAAGAAAAACAAGAGGCGCGCCGGACTGCCCGTCGCCGAGCAAAAACAGCGAGCCCGGGGAAGAAAGGGGACGCGGAGGGCCCTGAGACAAAGAGGAGAGGCTCTCCAAGGCCCCCGGACGCAGCTCCTTCGGCCACTGGCCTCCCCACCCCCGCTGCTCCCTCCAGCGCGTCTCCAGAGCCCCGCGAAGCAGCAACATCAGAAGCAGCCATTACCTACCAAGAAGTGACCCGCGACTCCGAGGCAGCCTGGACTGAAAGGAAAAAGGGGGCAGCCAAAGAGCCGCCTCGGCGCCGGCTACCTGCTTCGCTCCCGAGAAAGCTCCGAGCGTCGCTCTCCCCGCTCAGCCAGGCAGGTCCCACTCTCTGGCCCTGGCTTGGCTCCGCCCTCCGGGAGGAGGATCCCCCCTCCCACCTTCAACTGTGTCACTCGTGGCCATGCTAAGCTGAGGAGGGCCGTCTCCTCTTAGCGCGAGCCACGCCCCTCCGCTGACGCGGCTCGAGCCTCGCACAAACATTGAGGCCACGTGGGGGCGGTGGTGTGTGTGTGTGTGTGGGGGGGGGTTCCTTAAAGGGCCAGAGGCTGGACCGAGAAGTCTGGGAAGGCGATGCGTTTTGCGTCGTCGGATCTTCCCCTTCGAGTCTCTTTGTTGGGGGTTGCTCGTCGCCTGAGAAAGCCCTTGTTTTGTTCCTTTCCGCATAGAGAAATATTACTGGATTCCGTGTCACAAGGAAAGGAGGGAAGAAAGATCCATTCAGTGCAGTTTTGTTGTGGGAAAGGAGAATGAAGACATAAGGTCTTAATTAAGTGTATTCATTCCTAAACAGAAAATAAGGGCCTCAACTCAATATTTATGTAGTGCAATAGCTATATGTACATGTTCCATAGTCTGCTTACAAAAACAATCATGTAGTATATTATATACTTAATTGCAATAGACTGGAGAGTTGCTGCCCTGAAAAATAAGATATTACTTCACCGTCTCAGAGGCTTTGTGTGGCTATGGATAATATCCATAATAAATTGTAAACATATAGGTAATGTAAATGGTGTATTTCATGAAACAAAGCACAGACTAATGGACACAACTACCTGCTGGCAAGCAAGGGATTTAGTTGGTTTTCTGGAACAATTACATTGGCATTAGTGTTCAAAGACTTTTCTGCACACAACAAGCCTTCCTTGGAAGAGATTGCCAGTTATCTTTTCTGGAGTAGATGTAACTCCTCTTTGTCCACCTTTGTCATCTAAATAAACACAATCTGGAAATCAAAATGTGAACATACTGTGAGCACCCCTACATTGATAGAATTTGTGCCCGAAGCAGCAACAAGACAAAGCTCTTAGGTGGGTGGGTGATCTAGAATTCTGCCATCATTTTATAAAAATGGAATTGAGGATGCTTTGGGATAACCAAATCTTCCACCCACGCTTTTTTCATGGCCTGAATATGTTTACAGGTAAATACGTATATGGATCTTAAATGAAAATAAGTATGTTCATGGATAACTTTTTCTCAGGCTTTTACTTTTTAACAGATCCTTGGACAGATATTGGCACAGCAGGAAAAAAAAACCTACAGGTGTAAAGTAAATTTGGAAGTTGAAAAGAAAAATTCCAGACATCAATGCCAACTTCCTTAATGTTGCCAAGAATGCTGTCATCATGAATCCACCCTGTCTACCAAATAAGAAATGTATTCATGAATGGCTTATTTCTGAATAGATATTTTTAAGTTCTTCTGTTGTAAGAACCTGTGAACTTGAACAGTAGCTTTTCCCACCTCTATGCAGCTATAATGCTCACCTTTACAAGTATCCTGTTGTTGGAAGTTAAAACCCACCCCCCTCCTAGAGAAATGAAATATCTTAGGATATATTAAAAGGCAGAATATTTCCCCTAAAAGAGAAGTAGAAACTCAGAGAGGCAGAAACTCAGCCCCCTACCTTTGTTAATGGGCCATGAAGGCTTGGGCCAGTCTATTCTACATTACAAAGTTCTACCTCCTTCAGGTAGAGTCATAATAGGAATTGCCCAAAACCCTTTCATTACATCATCACCTAGCAAGAGTCAACCAACCCTGGGACTCAAAAGACAACTTAACAAGTTACCCCTGCATGGCCCCATAGGAGTCTGACAACCAATCAGAACACAAGCTCAAGCTCAAAGCCACAGAGGGCATAAAACCCAGGCACTCTCAGCATCTCCCCTTTTTCACTCAGGAGCTCCAAGGCATGATGTGATTCTGTCCACCGTTAAACCATATTTCCAAACAGCCTCCATGTTTCCAGTGTCCTTTTCCCCACTTGGAACTGAACCCAGAAGGATATTTTCTTCCAACACTGAATTTTATTTAATATGATTGATGGGCTTTCCATCAATCAGATGCAATGGTCATCTGAAATCCAGTCCCCTTTTGAAAATATGACCATTAAAAATATGGGAAGAAAAACAGCTATATCCATTTATTATAACACAATGTCTCTCTCACACACGACATCTTAGAATGTTTTATCAATTGCAGATTATTATAAAGCTTGCATCTGAATAAAATGTAATTCCAGTTCAGTTTCAGTACTAGTATTTATTCAGATTATTAAATTTATGGAAATTTAAAATTGAAAAAAAAAAGAATATACAGATTACAACTAGTCATAGATTATTACTGAGTTACCAGTTACATTGGTCAGTTTATAGTATTCTTTTATATACAGTAAAACTCTTCCTGAAAAACCTTTCAATGCAAAAAGGACTCCCATAGTTTTAAAACCACGTGAAGCACACAAAGGCAAATCAACAGCAGTAACAGCTTATAGTTGAAGATCTAGACAGCAAGTACCTATAATAAAATGACCTTTCATCCATCCATTCTTGTAATCCATGGAAGACAACTGAAAATGCAGGTAATCCTCGACTTAACAATCAAAATAGATCCCAAAATTTCTGTTGCTAAGTGAAACATTTGTTAAGTTGAGTTTTGCTCCATTTTACAACCTTTCTTGCCACAGCTGTTAAGTGAATCACTGCAGCTGTTAAATTAGTAATCCGGTTGTTAAGTGAATCTGGCTTTGCCATTGATTGCTTGTAAGAAGGTCACGAAAAGGGATCATATGACCCCAGGACACTGCATCTGTCATAAATATGAACCAATTGCCAAGCATCCACATTTTAATCACATGACTGAGAGGATCCTGCAACGGTTGTAAGCAGTGGTGGGATTCAATTTTTTTTACTACCGGTTCTGTGGGCGTGGCTTGGTGGGCATGGCAGGGGAAGGATACTGTAAAATCTCCAGTCAGAGGTGGTATTTGCTGGTTTTCCAAACTACTCAAAATTTCCGCTACCAGTTATCCAGAACTGGTCAGAACCTGCTGAATACCACCTATGGTTGTAAGTGTGAAAAACGGTCATAAGTCAATTTTTTTTAGGGATATTGTAACTTCAAACGGTCACCAAACGAACTGTTGTAAGTCAAGGACTACCTGTTGTCAATATAAGATTTGGTTAAGCCAAACCAAATAGTTGATATAAATAAACTTAATTCCCTTAAATATGAACAAGAACTACAGTCCCATAAAGAAAAATTGTAGGAACAGAATATATTTAACCTTGAGTGATGGGGATATGATAACGCTCGTCAAGTACCTGATAGAGTGCCACAAAATCAGTTTTACTCTTGCCTTTTGGTATATAACACAGTACAGATTTTGTCAGGGAAAACTTTCTAATAACACTTTGACAGTGAAAGCAATTACTGAGAATGCGTCCCATTGCTGGATGCATTCAAACAGAGGATGGGCAGCCATCTTTCAGGATCTTACAAACTTAGTTTTAAATGGCCTTTGCTAACTCTGAATCTTCTTGGACTCCTTGCAAGCAAAAGAAATGAGGTTTGACTGGAACTGTTTTTTATAGAGAGAGTGAATATTGTTGGCAGAAAGCTGGTATTCCATGCTCATTCAGCAGTCTAGAGTTGACAGTCTAGACAAAGAATTGTTTTGGTTCATTGCAGCAAAACCAGAGCCTGAGAGCTTAATGGAAAACTCAGTAACACCGCAGAACATAGAAAAGGTCTTAGATTCAATCCCTGTAGCTTCCAATTGGGTTGGAATAAATTGTACTTTAAAATCCCATCGATTTAAGGCCTGCAGACGGTACTAACTCAATTATCTGTTTCAACATTAAACAGCTTATTCACATCATTTCCATATGTTTATTCTTATCAATAAAGGAGAATATTTGTAGCTCAGGGTTGAAATATAGGGTCCTTGGTGCTCTTTGAGCTTGGTTGTTTTCTCAGATATTTATTACCTAGGTAGTATCTTCAGTGCTAGTCCTGATGATGTTAGCACTGATGATGATACTTAATTTCAACCAAACTCAGAGAGAACTGTTATGAACTAACATAAACGTATTTTAATAAAGCTTGACAACCTTGATAGAAAAGCAGGCTCGTAATCCTGCACTTTTGATTGGCCTGTGGATAGCGAGCTGGGATTGGTCCTTACGGAGCAACCTGATTGGCTATTAGCGGAACGTCTCTCATTGGGTACAATTTAAACGTTTTAACGTAAGTCATTGGTTAATGGGACAGCAGCCAGCCCTATAAAAGAGCTGCTGCTGCCCAGGGTTCTTGCTCTGTTCCTGATCGTTAATAAAGAGTTGAAGTTCACCGTTCACTGCCTCGTCTCCGTTCCTTGCGCCCATGCCCAGAATATAACACTGGCGACGAAGGTGGGATGCGGAGACATCAGAGCTGACTGAACACTTACAGAGCAACAAACAGAGCACGTGGCTGAAGGAGCACCTACAACGGCAAGATGTCCAGCGGTGCCATACCACCCGCTCCATTTGACCCAGCAAACGAAGACTGGGACTCGTATATGGACAGGTTCCAGATGTTCCTGGAGACCAACAACTTAAAGGACGCTACGACCGGCAAAAAGCGAGCAGTGTTCCTGACCCATTGCGGGCCTGCCGTCTTTAAGATGGCGAAAGCACTCGCAAAACCGGCTGAGGTGAAAACGATGGATTGGGACACCCTCGCGCCCCTTCTACGGGCCCACTATGCACCCGCAGTGCCAACGCTTGTCCGTAGACACGAGTTTTACCAGAGGGACCAACGGAAAAGCGAAAGCCTTGCAGACTTCATCGCTGACCTCCAGAACTTGGGTGGCCTCTGTGGGTTTTCAAACCTCGAGGAAGCCTTACGAGACCGCATAGTTCTGGGATTAGATGACCACACGACGCAGAGCAAGATCATGGCCAAAGGGGACATTGATCTTGCAGATGCCATCGCAGACGCTACTGCAGCAGAGGCAACCAGGAAGTCGGCCGCTCGAATGCGCCGCACCAACGCACCACTCCGTCAACTCGCAAATG